ATATATGTATATATATATACACCTGTCTGTGTGTGTGTGTTTGTGCAGACGTATGTACAACATGCATAAATGTATTTGTCTACTTGCCTGATACATTTCTAACATGAACAGATAGATAGATTAGATAGATAGATAGATAGACAGAGGTAGAGAAGATTGCTAAGATAGATAAGATAAGTAGACAGATAGATAGAAGTACATGCATATATCTATATATTCAACAGAAACAACATGTCTCATTTACTTTGCTGCTTGTATGTGCGATCTCGTAGGTGATCTCTGTCTCCCTCTTCTCTCTCTCTCTCTCTCTTTCTCTCGCTGTCGTGTTTATGTAAGGGAAGAACCAACATGTGCGCGTAAATGCAAGCAGACTTGTCTACTGTATTGCATTGCAGCAGCTTGCACCGGCGGACTGGCTGGTCCATAATTAGCTGGGGATTCTGTTTTAATGAGCGAAGGGATCTTTTTCGTCGAGTCGTTATGCGGGACTCCACGTGCATGAGGACAAGAACTCCACCTGCAGATCTGAACAAAACTGTTTGCATGCGATCTCTGGTTTTACTGTTACGAGCATTAGTGACTTGCACTGTATCCCTGATCTGCAGACAGGTTGCCGAAAATCTCGGGGCAGACGGTGAACATCCTCATTCGGATGAGCCAGGCTCTCTAAAAGTGACAACCAGTGGAGACACACAGGTGCAGGTGTAGAAAAGAAGGCCCGTCATACATACTTGCAAACACGCACCTCCCTGCGTGCGCCAGCTCATGTAAACTCGAACAGTCAAAGAGATGCCGCTTGATGCGCGCAGTGCATGTTTCCAGGGAAACCAGGCCCAGATGCAGGTGTGTTCGGATAGAGGCCGAGGCACAGATGAAGACGTTCAGAGCAGCTCACGGCTTTGTTTGCAGCGTCAGTTGCACGGGCAATTTCGAGATATGAAGCATCGATGTCACACTTGTCTTGGTGACAGTGGCTTTGTCAACGTTCGCGGCAGGCTTTCGAAACATTTTGCGTCGAGCATCTGCCCCTGCGATTTTGGTAAGCTCGGGTCAGACAGCTGCACCTTCGAATCCTGGCACGACTTGCGCTCCTCAAGCATGCTCCTGTTTGCATGATTTCTTGGCTTGCGATTTCATCCGAGGACAAGCAGTCGCGCCAAGAAGAGCGTCGCCTTCGGCCTGCGATACAGTATTGTCATTGGTAGCGAAACCTTTTCCGAGGGTCGTCGCCTTTCTGACGTGGAGGCCCAGAAGAAGGCAGATGCTATCCAGCATTGGTGGGCCGAGAGGCAACGCCTGGGATACGACGCTTACAACGGGGATGAGTCTCCGAGCCCCAGCCCGGAGCTCCCCGTTCGGCGACCTCGGTCCACGTCCCTCGCGGAGATGCACGGCGAGGGCGGCCAGGGCGACGGCCTCGAAGTGCCTGGCGATCTCCCATCCGGAAGAAGGCGCTCCAGGGCCAACTTCTCAGCTGCGGACATCTGCGAGGAGAGGGCAGGGTCTCCGAGGAAGGGCCCGGGATCCCACTGGCAAAGCTGCGCGTGCTTGCCTTCAGGACTCGGCATCTTCCTTTCCTCCGGAAGGCATTCTTCTGCTGGGATTGACTCGTCAGCTTCATTTTGACCTCCACTTGTTGCTTGTTGCGTCTGCATAGGCGATTTCCAGATGGACGGGATCAGCAGAAATGATGCTCCCAACCTTCTCCAAGACTTCAACTTGCAAGTCATGCCCAAGCCGAAGCCGGTCGTGCAGAGCGTGGAGGAGTTTCTGGCCGCGGACCCGCTCGTGAGCTTGTCGGATTTTTTAGCACAAGGCTCGTGGTTCGAAACTATGTATATAAGTATATGCAGCGGCACTCGTTGAAAAGTGCTCTGTACATTCAGCAAGGCCCCAGCTTTGCACGGCCCACACAAAACAGGTGACACGGAAGGCCCAAGTCCGGCTGTAGCATGGTTCCACAGGCCGAAGCTCGTAGGACTCGTGGGGGCTTCCATGGCCCCCATGGGCCCCATGACATGTTCCCTGGCAGATGATGAAAGACCTGATCAAGCGGACAAGCGGCGCTGCTGGACGGCAGATGTGTCAGAAATGCGGTCGTGACGGAGGCCCTCGACAGAGCAGTCGCGTGACGTGTGCAGCCAGGATGGTGTTCAGCAAGTGTTTTCTCCTTTGTGTAATCCTTGCAATAGGGTTAAGCGACTAAGCCTGCACGTGGCTGCCTCGCCGGCGTAAGCTTGCACCCCTCAGCAGCTCTTCACTTAGGGTTAACTGAGCAACTCTCTGTTTCGTATTACGCGCGACGTGCAACAAGAAAAACATTGAAGGCATGAAGTGAGGAATGCGACGGAAAGGCTAGACACTCGAACTTTCGGGAAGTGGGGGTTCGGTTCAAGAAGGCGGGACTGGACAGGGGAGGGCAGGAACGGCCGGTGGGCCGGGAAGGCCTGCTGTGTCTGAGTTCAGCATCTGCAGGACTTCTCACCATCCCTAGAAAGTTCTGGGGATCGCATGCAGCATGCTGTAGAGGCTTCTTTTAGCCGGAAATCACGCAACGCTACTTCACAGGGTGTGAAGTTCTGCTTGGTATTTCCATGTACTTGTCGAGGGTTCCTACATCCGCCCATACTCGTTGATTGATTGGTCTACCGTTCCAGACGTACATGCGGGCTCTTCTAGACTCAAGCTTTGAAGCAAACCCATACAGCCGCCTTGCTGCGCGTTGAGATGCAGAGGAAATGCTCAAAAAGTCATTGGCCCGGGGCGACAAGCCGGTGGGAGACCTTCGGGATCGGGCAATAAGAGAGAGAAAGCATTGCATTGTAATAAGCTGTGGTTCAAGGACATGCTTGCGAAGCAACGTGGCCCTGTTATTTTGCAGAATTAGTTGCCAAGCAACTGACCAATTTAGCTCAAAGCTGCTCCACGTCGAAGATTTGTCGTTGCTTTGTGCTACGTGGGCACAGGAAGTAGAGTTCATAGCAGTTCCAAGTGCACGGCGATGTTTTTGAGCGCATGTGCCTTGCGTCGCCCATCGGAGAACAAAGGAATTGCATTGCAACTGCGCCTGCTTTGGCCAGAACCGAAGAAAAGCTTTTTCCTGGCTTAGAAACCATGAGAACCCGAGGTTCCGCCTTCTGGTTTCCGCGATTCGTCGCTCCTGCAGCCCTGGTCGTTTGAGTCGATCGTTGTGCGGCTGGGTCGGCCTACCACGCTTATTCGAGGGCATGCTCAGTGACAGCATTGCAAGCCCTCCTGGAGCAGCTGGCTAGAAGCTATCCTGATGCCCTTATTTATGACATGAAACATATCAGGAAGGAATTCCGCCTTGATCGCAAGCTACAGCCAGCTTCTCGAAAATGCACAGTTCGCACGGTGCATGCAGGAAGTCTCAAAGCAAGTGACGAAGACTCCGCGGCGGCCTCAGTCGGAGTCCAGAGCCAGATGACCCAAATCCTAAATCCGTTGCTTGAGGCTCACTCTGATTGCGTGAGATCGTCCCATACTGAGGGTCTCAGAGCGCCACGTTTCGATCGTCTTTTCTTCTTGCTCTCCAGACATTTCGTTTTTGCCGTGTGAATGCAGGTTGTAGCGTGAGCTGCTGACACAGAATCTGCGAGGCATTGCTTACAGCCAACCAACTCTTGGGGGGTGGCCTGCACCTGAGATTCTGACCCATGCCGCATCCATTAAGCACGACTGCTGGAGCCCTGAGCGGCCGCTGCCCAACCAAGGAAGCCATTTCTGTGTTGGAAACGCGATACGGACAAGGCTACATAGTTTTCGGATTTGATTGAAGCAGTCGCCCTGGGCTCTGCTAAACACTGCCCGGGCAGTGGGGCCAATGCACACTTTGCAATCCCGACCCATGGCAACGAATGCCAACAGTATGTACAGTTGCCGTGCATTCCTCGAAAGAGGAAGCTGGCATTCATTGTGGACGGGGTGCCAGAGGTCCTGGTGAGTCTGTGAATATGCCTTGCTACTTGTACCATTTTCCCTGCCGGCTGCTGGCGGAGCACCGGCTGAGGCAGCGAGGGCCTCGCAGGCACCCAAGGTGTCAGGCGACGAGGCGCAGCAGAGGTCACTAAGGCGCAGGCGGACAAGGACCTTCTGAAAGCACAGCTCGGGACGCAAAACTTGACGAGCAGCTTTGTTCTCGTAAGCGGCCGTGGCGGATTTTCGATCAGTCTCATGCCTGCCCATGTTCTTTCAGTTTGCCCAGCCAGTCCTCACAAGAATGCCAGATCCTCTTCTACATCACTGCCTTGCCGTTTTTGTTTTGGGCCCGAATCTGAGATGTGCGTGTGTGGCAGAATTCACCAACCAATCAGTTTTTGTCAGGGTCTACGGCTCTTGATGTTTAGGTGGTGTTCTCGGATGGAACACTAAGGCTGGCGAGCTGCAGTGTCATCCCTATGTCCAATTTTGCTCGATCGATGCGACTGAAGCCGGCCACGTTGCCGTAAGGCTGGCGCGACAGCTTACATCGTGCGGGACACAGTGAGAGACGACCTTCATGAATTCAATGTCGCCCTTTGTCGACGGGCATCAGCATTGCTGAATGATGAATCTTCGTCGAGGTTCATGGCCACCTGCATCTATGCTCCAATCTGAGATGCTGGAGGCATCACAGGACTCCAACTGCTGCGGCCTGAGCAGCAGAGGTGGGAAATGCGGTGAAGGATGCCATCAGCGCCCCGAGGCGGGCGTTGTGAGCGGTGGCCAAGTGTGAGACGCAGCTACTCGCGCGCGCTATTCGAGGCCCGACTGGAAGAAGGGGGTTCGTCTCGTCAGCCCGCGCCCCCAGAAAGCGCGTGGCGATTGCGTGGCGAGGAGAGAGAGCGGCGGGTTCGCAGTTAAGGTGACGGTGCCAGTGATGGGTCGTCCGTCTCCTAGATGTATCTCACCTCCGCCTCGTTTGCTCGTTTGCCAGCAGGTCGACGGATGACATGGAATATGGTTTACCCAGCCTGCCTCCCAGAATCAAGGATCCGGGGTGAGGTACTCATGCAAGCAGCTTTTTCCAGCTTGAAGGTACCCATACGATCAATACGGTCTGTATGTCCCTGACCCAGCAGCATGCCTGATATCGTCTCACGGTTGCACCTACAGGTGGCTTTATATTTTCTACTTCTACGCAAGCTCTACAAGCAGGGGGCCCGTTTCCCTCTGACGTGCGTAGGGCAATCGTCCAAGTCTTTGGCACAGGCCACGGGGATGGCATCTCCGTGTATTGGAACACCTGGAGGCCACAAAAGGCACCAAAGAGTCAGACAGCCCTTAGCCCAGCATGAGGTCTCCGGCCTTGCAGATGAGACTTGCTTCCACTGTCGGGATAGCGGCGCTGTGCGAGCACAAGCGAGTCGAATAACCCAAGTGCGCGCTGTTGTTGTGGCTGAGGATGTTTTGTGCTATCCTGATCTGGTGCACCTTCATTATGCTAGCAGCTGAGCACGAAGCATGGCCAGTGCATGTGGACAGCGGGCTGTGTGGGGGGGGGGGGGGGGCAGGGCGACCCCATAAATGGGCGCGAGGTATGGGCGGTTGTACCTTGGGATGCATTCACCAATCGACGTGGCCCGGTGCCGACACGTTCTGCTGAGGCTTGTTGTTTTGTTTCTGTTTGTGTTGCATCGGCTTGACTTGAGGTCGTCGGGTTTGGCATTTCCATGGTCTTGCACGCGCCTTGACAGAAACATCCGGGTCCTGTGAAATTGTGCCGCGTGAGGCTTCATGTCTATGCTGCCGTTCAGTCCTGAATGCGTCTTTGAGCCTGCCGTTGAAGACTCAGATCGGTTTAGGATTTCTCACCAAGGTGGACGATTTCATCGATGCATGGATGACGGCGACAACCGCGTTCGCCGCGGCCTGGTAATACCTTGCAAACTCCCAGAGTGCGTGGGTGTGCTTGGCTGTAGCGACTTCACCAGGTCCCAGCATATCAATTGGCCTTTGCAGTGGTCCTCTGCAGGGCACTTAGCCAACGATCTTCTTCAACTGCTGGTGTCACCCGTGACATGTTGGGAAACGCGGAATGCGCGGTTGAACTCTCGCCGGTCCTCGAGGCTGGACATATCCACAAGGCTTGCAGTTGAGATCCCAGAGACTTGCATCTCGGTGTGCTGCAACGAATGTGTTTGGACAAAGGCGGACTCCTTCGTACAACTACGCCGTTTACTTCACAGGTGTTTGTGCCCTCCCGAGGTGAGAGCAACAGCCAGCGAACCGTGTGTGAATCAGGATCGTTTGTGCAGTTGAGGCTTGGGAGTTGTCACCGGCGTGTGCGGGGCCTAACACTTGCTAAAAATACCTGTCCAAATTGCAAACTATTGTTGCCTCGCTTGCAAGTTTTCATTCGGGCTTGGCAGCGCCTTAGAGACGGCGCTCATTTGTGACTCCTTTTTTCTTAGCTGTGACATGTATTGTGCTCCTTCTTAAGAAGGGCCACAGAAAAGATTGCGCGGTTAGGACTTCTTCCTGCCATGACATGTCACACCTGCGATTTCTACCTTGCCCTCCGGTTCCTTTCGAGGTTCAGGGGTTTGGCCCGAATGTTCGCCTGACGTTCCACGGGTGGCCCAAACCGCTTACGGTTGGCATCGGTTGACCATTCCTTGCCATTCGTCCTGGCCCTCCCTTCCAAGGATCAGAGTGATGCCCACTCTTGTAAGGGCCGCCCACTCCTTTCTGGTTTCACGCATGTCTTTTTCGGGTTGGCAATTCCATGTTTCAGTCTTGGCCACACCTTTTGAGGTGCAGGGTTGGCCGTTCCGTTTCGGTCTCATGGTTGGCCCACTGCCTCTCATTGCCACTAACTCCTTGTAGGCCTCGGGTGTGGTGTCGCATGGCTCACTTTGCAGGTGGCGCTGCCCGCATCATCATAGTGCGCTATTCTCGGCCGTGTCGCGGTCACTCCGCCGAGCCTCGGTTGGAGGCATCTGTGAGCTTGCAAAACGAAGGTTGCAGCAGCAGAGGCTATCAAAGCAGCCAGGAACTTGTAGAAGGAGCATGAGCTTTAGGCGACGTGCCGGCATTGCCGGCGTGTAGAGCTGAGGTCCGAGGCCCGCTGGCTAGCACTGGCTTCATGCTCTTCGTAGGACGGCCCAAGGTGTCCGCCCTTTTGCGCTTCGCAAAACCCGATCTGATTGCAGGACGCAGATTCTTGGTGGGACTGGTAGTTGTGCTGGCTTTGCGGGCAGCAAGCAAAGAGATCTTGAAGTGCGGGTCTCGGCTGACACTACGCTGTTTGAGAAAACCTCGGACGCTTACCAGGCTGCTGGTACCACGTGTTTTCCAGATCCTCGGGATACCTTGCTCGGATCACGAGTGGCACTGGCAGTACTTCGCACTGTCGCTGTAAAAGCTGGGGGCTGCAGGTTGTTGGTAGGAAATTCCACTCCGCGCCAGGGCCAAGCCAAAGGAAGAAAAGGACCCCGTGGGCTTCAACGCAAGAGGCTTGGTTTGGCCGCGAGTCTGACGCTGTCGGTTAGCAACCGAGCTACTTGCGGTGACATGCTGGCTGTAACCACACACTGAGCCAGCCTGTGGCAATCGATCTCTCACCAGCACGAGAGAAGTATGCAACAACGGTTGATGGCACCTTGGCACCTTCTCTTGGCAGACTGCGAGGTTCTCACACCAACGCGACTTTTGAACTACGCCGTGGTGGGTTGGACAGTTGCCGGGTTCCGAGCTGTCTGTGTGTGTGTGTATGTGTGTGTGTGTGTGTGTGCAGCAGCACTCTTCAGAGCTGCAAGCCAATGACATCTTGGGGATGAAGAGGACGCATTTCAGTGTCAACCTGCCATCTCAGGTGGAACCATGCTTTGACCTGTTCGAGTGGCTCAGAATATGAGTGCTTGAATGTTGTGGTTGAGCGGCTTAGACCCAAGAGACATTTCAAGCTCGTTTGAGCGTGAAACGCGTGCGCCAGAGCGTCTTTCCAGACGAAAAACCGCTTCCATTGGCGCTGGTCTTGGCAGTGGATCTTCGAAGTGCATCTCAGTGTCTTAGTATCTTAGTCACCGTTTCGATGATGCTAGACCCTTACATCGCGAACGAAGCCACTTTATGAAGATGGAAACGAAGCCTATGACATCCTTTGAACCTGAGCAATGAACACATGGGTCATATAGCTGCAACTCAGCTCACGCAAAGTCTCGTGCAAGTTGCTTTGGACGACGACATAGCGACAAGCAGCAAGCAAACAACAAAAACGCTCAAGATTAGGCTACTTCGTTGACGCACAGACATGGCGAACACCGTACTCGCTTGCCGATGGCCTGGTGCTGACTTAAGCGCAGGCCGCCAGAGACCGAAGACCGAGGAGGAGTTGATGGCTCTCCGCTGCACTGCAGGAGCGGCAATGTGTCCGTTGGCTGACAGCCACTGCCAAGCTGCGGAGGCAGCTCAATGTCGCGAGTCCATCGATGGTTGAACCACTAGGCATGCGTACGGCCGACTAACGCATCGATGCGATCAACACAGAGTGGACCACGCAGAGCAGCACAGCCACACAAAATCGCGAGGCACCTGTTTTGCCAGCCAGGTTAAAACAAGTGGAACAGACATGAACTTGCCGTAAACAGCAAGCGAACTGTTCGCACATCCGGCATCCGCCGGCCTGCAGCCATAGAAGTTGGCATACGTTCGAAACGTGAGAAATGGACTTCGGCAGCAGCAAGTTGTGATTTGAACTGTCAGGGCGTGCTTCCATCAATCGTCAGTTCCTCAGACATGGGACAAGCGGAGTGATGATAGAGTTGTTCCACATTGCAGGGAGGTGTAGGTGTTTGTGTGCGTGTGGGTAGGGGGGCCATGCAGTTGGCAGACTGGAAAACGCTGTAGCAGCCTTGCCTTCCTTGGCAGGCTGATTTACTGCTCAATGCTGCCACCTTGGCTTTTTCGCATGCCGGCACGTCCCGATGAACAACCGTTCATGACATTGGCTATGGAAGGTTCTTAGCTACCTGAGAGCTGCCTCGTCCACACCTCAGGGCTTGTCTTTCCTCGCAGGTAATATGGCGACTGCATGTACGCCAATTGTTTTTTGCGGGTAAACCCCTTGCAACCAGAAGCCCTTCCTGCACAGCTTTGATTGTGTTGTGCAGGCTGAGCCAGCTCCTGTATTCTTCACATGAGGTGCGCTGCTGTTGTTTGCGTTTGCTTGAGTCTGAGAGTTTGGATGAGTGGCAGGCAGAGTTATGGGTGCGGATGTACTTGCCAGCATCGCACTTGGTCATGTCTGGTGTGTGGCACAGCAAAGCATGCGGGAGGCTACAAGGATGCGGAGTGAATCAAAGAGGGTATTCAGATGCACTTAGCAGTATACTTAGCAGTTTAGAGTCGGCGCTTCGTGCTCAGGCTTTAGTGGACAAGCGTGGATGGGGGAACGCCGACTTGAGCGCTTTGCGCTCACTTTGCCATGCGACTCGCCAAAGCTGCCTCGTTTGCGCCTCCCGGTCGAGGCCAACCCACTGTCCACGCTCCACCTGCCCAAGCCTCAGAGAGGGGTGGGGATTTTGGACTGCTTTGCAGCCGAGCTGTCAAGCTCCTACGTAAGCCTAAGCATATCTAAATCGCTCTTCAAACCACATCAGAAATCAGGTTAACAGCAAAAAGGCTTGCCGGGACCGGCAGCCGCAGTCACAGGTTTATCCTTAATAGTTCAGAATGGTGTTAAATGCTGCCATAGTGCAGTTCTTATGAAATTACAGCTGGAGGGAGGGAAGGAAGCAAGGAAAGAAAGCCCGTGTCAGCGTGTCATTGGCTGAGCAACTCAGTGCCGCCTTTGGGAGGGTGGGGAGAACGCAAGCGGGGCTTACTACTGTGACAATCCCGGTGTTCATGGTCGGGAAAGTCTTCTAAACGACCATAAACGACATCGAGCTGCTTGGTGCAGATGCCCGAGGAAGTCGGAAACATGAGAAATTGTGAATGCCAACTTGCAGTGTCCTGATTGGCAGTGCAGCATGACTCCGGAAGCAAGCCTGAGGCCTAAATCGGCAAGTTTTCGACTGCAGTCGGACACTGGTGCAACAAACAAGACAGTACTTTTTTGCAGAGGGGCAGTGGGTTCAGGAATGGGTTCGGGGAATTGAAACATGCCGGAGCCCCAAGCACGGCAAACTTCTCGAGTGGTGGCACTTGAGCAATCGGTTCGCCGCAGGGCCATGCACATCCACCAAAAGAAATGCTATTTGCACCCCCTACCGCGACCTCCTTCGCCCACCCGCCAAAAAGTGGCAGCCGCATGGAGCCGCCTAGGCACAGAATCCCGAAATGATCGGGAATCGGGGGTATTTCCCTGAAAGCATCGAACTGGTAGAAGCCACATGTTGGCGGGAACGGGTCACGCACCAAGTATGTGGACTCATCTAGTGAATCTAGTGCATTGTTTGATTGTCGGCTTCAGAGTACACACCCGCCTGAAACTAAGGACACCTCATGACATGGTTCTGCATGCATTGCACCGCGACAGGTCGGAGATGTGGGACGTTTTGGCAAACGTATGCTCTCCTATAGGCCCAGAATGTGCAAAGGAGCTCCGCTGTTTGCATCGCCTCGACATATCGGCATGCAGGCGTGAACTTCATGCTGTTGCGGCACACATTCTACGGAGCCGGCCTTACTGAACCTTATAGACTTACAGGCTTCAGGCTGGGCTCGGGGGAAAACGATGGCACTCCGAGGAACCATGCTGGAGCTGCAGCTTTCTCCAGGCCGCAGTGCCACTCGAGCCCGCCCAGATGCTTGGAGTGTCGCTCCCCGAAACGTGTCCCTTTTCAGGTTCAACACTGGCTCATTTCAATTTTCGAGCCAGTGACGAGGCCTGAATCTTGATAAGTTGAGTTCTTGTGCAGGCGCGCTTCTGTAGCAGGCAACGCCCATGTGGTGTCGGGGTAGTTTCGCCGTTCGAGGTGCCAGGGCCTCCGGCAAATTTCTGGCAGTGCTGATGCTTGGCATGTGCCTGGTACAGTAGTTTCAGCAGCACAAAGGCCTTGCAGTGTGGCAAGTGGACCGATGAGTTGCGGCAGCGCCCCCGCAGAGCGCCAATCACACAGGCCCAGAACAGCGAACATTGCTGAGAATGGTACTTCCCAGTACTATTGACACTTTCAGTACTAGATCGCTCCTGCCGTGCAGGATTCCTTGGCCCAACAAAGCTCTTATCGAGTCGAACATTGTGGCGACAGGCCGCTGTCTCGGGTGCGGGAGATGACCTCGCACCATTGACCATCCCACACCCGTCCTTCTCATGATTTTGAAGACTTTGAAGAGCGTCATGAAAGGTTCGTTCTCCGACCTGCATGCAAGCGGTGGACAGAGGCATCGAATCTCGGAGCTTCAGCTGCTGACTGTACTGCATCATTAGTTAAGACCGCAGAGCTTTGGTTTTCTCCGCTGCTGAGCCAAGCCACGAGCGAGAAGTTGCCAATTGCCTGCTGGAGATTTTTTGCCAGGCTCGTCCGCAGCTGCAGCTAACGAAACGAGGTTTCATTGCCATCGCCACAGACCAGTTAGAAAGTGCTAGCATCGGGTTCAAGAGACAGCTTCAGAGTCCGTCCAATCGCAGAGGCCATCGCTGCGGAAGGCGGCGGTATCATCGTTGAGGCTGATATCTTTTGCAGGCGCTCTTAGAGACGGAGGTCTCGTTGTGAATTGCAGGATGGGCAGCCGCCGCGTCGTATTGAGGCCGACGAGCGGGCCTCAGCTCAGCTTGCGGTGGTTCTTCAAAGCTTAAATCGCCTTTTGCGACCTTGCGCCAAGGCCCCAGAGGCTCCTTGCTAGCCGCTTAGAAGGGGCTCTTGAGCTGCTTGAGCTCCTTGCGCTCCAACCTCCGGCAGTCTGCGGCGAGATCAGTACAGTGCCAAATCCTGTGCGCTGCACAGATCATCTTGTTCTGACAAGTGCAACTGCGACGCAACTGCAGTCATCAGCTGTACAGTTTGGACTTTTGCCTCCAGACTGTCGTCCGCCCTCGAGTTGCATTCCGCAACAAATCCACGGCTACTCTCTTTTTTTTAACGAATGCCCCTCAGAAGCCCACTTAGGTTCAGGTCCCGAACCTGGAACTGGGATCGATGATGTATGGATGCCATCTTGACACCAAGTTTGCAACATGGTTCATTCTTCTCTAAGACAGAGAGATCGAAACATCGCATGGAACAGGAGAAGTAGAAAAGGTTCCTGAACAGAACACGTGGCCTCAGCGGCACAAGTTTCGGGGGTTTCCGTCAAAGTAGATCATAGGCAGCTGGGACAAGAGATTCACAAAGTTGTAATGAACTGGCCATTGATCAGTCCAAGTCGGTAAGCTGTGGTACCCAATTCTTCAGCAGCGTGGAAAGTGCTGCCGAAAGTAACTAAACAGCACAGTCTTATTCGATGGCCATGAATGACACAGATCATGCAGATGTTTCCCATGGCTCGAAATGTTTACATTAATTGTTTTTCTGCGCGGTGCAGTTTTGCAAGCGCTTCCCGAATGTTAACCACCCTTTCGTGCCTTTGCCCCTGATAGCTTGAACAGCAAGGGTTCTCACTACGTAGACATAGACGGCCACACGTTCCACAGGTCCTGCAACCCTTTCTCCAGGAATGCAGGAGCTATTTGGGGTCTCCACCGGTATAACTTCACATGTGGATGCTGTGTTGAGCCGCATGCCTCTCCCCCCTACGTAGTTAAGTACATGCCAAGAGCATCCTTTTTTAGGGCTTACTTCCAATACAGCCACCACTACTGCGACTATCCACATGAAAGCTTGAGAGACCTCATAGAGAAGGACCCTGATATTGCCCCCGCATTTTGAGAATGCTCCTGGTGTGGATGACAGTTTTTGGACGGCTCTTGTGCACGATCCCTGGTTGGCGACACTTCGAGCAAAGCTCGATCCTGCACCGCTTCGGTCGTTCGTTGAAGAAGGAAGCAGGCTCGTCTTAGAGCTTCAATCAACAAGGACGTCGAGCCCTAAATCGTAGGCTCATGACAAAGGCCTCTAAATACTCTAGTGAGTGAGTGAGTGAGTGAGTGAGTGAGTGAGTGAGCGTTGACCAGCATTTACGTTGCGGCCTGCCTCCCACGTCCCTCTCAACATCTCAGAGAGGGGCTCTGGAAACGTCATAGCCCCCCTCCGTCACAGAGTTCAAGGTGCACGTGTACCCCGAATGCTGGACAGCCAACAGTACGCCGAAGTGGCTAGGCATGAGAAGACTGATCAGTGGATCTTTGTTCTGTCGCAGATTTTGTCTGCGACTTGTCGGGCGCTCACCTGCTCAAGTGCAAGTGCCCTCGCAGAATTTGTAAAAAGCAGGCGCCGTGCCAGCACAAGTCGCAGTCGAACCTGCAGCCTCAGATTGCACGTGTTCCATGGCCCAAGTTTTCCGGCAGGTTGAAGTACAGCTGCTTGCTACATGGCCAGGTCCCGGAATGTCCTGAACAACGGACGCGGGACTTAGTTGATTTATCCCGTGGCTGCCGGCATTGCATGTCAAGAGTCAAGACCACGACTCGATAACAGCAGCACCTGGGTGTCACGCAACAGTACGTATGCCCCAAACCGCTTCTTATTTCAAAGGGCCGGTTTAGAAAGTTAAACAACAAAACTGAATCAGGTCTTGGCCCTCGGTGCCTCTCGGAGCGGCAGCAAATCATAGAAAGGCCGCGCAATTGAAGTGGAATGTCTGTCCGAAACTCCACGAATCAGCCAGTGATCGCGACGGCCGGAGCCGCCACTGTTGTTTGCTTGTTGGCGTGCACACATTTCTGTATGCAATGACACGAACCACACAGTTTCATTGTAAGAATCACCAGAATTTCGATCGACCGACTCCTCTCCGAGATCTTCAATCAACAGGCCCCTCCCCAAATCACAGTCATCAGAATATCCATTATGACCGTCATCATTATGACACCCCTCCCGATCACTACATCACCATTTCGGTCAGCTTGTTAATCGCTATCATTTCCGTAACCACCACCCATCACCATCACCATCCCATCACCCTCACCATCATCATCAACATCGTCATCATCATCGTCGTCGTCATCGTCACTTTCAGCATCACCATCACTGCCGCCATCACACCAACTGCCGGATTCGCATACACTGGCTTAGGACGATGCCGATTGCTCAGCAGTATGATGTAAGATGAGAATAGATATGTAGATGTAGTTAGATGTATGCGCGTTTATATGGATGTAGGTACGCATAGTCTGCATACATTTTCACTGCGGATTGATGGACTTATGTCGAGCGATCGCATCTGCACAGCTACATGCCATTGTCTCAGATTGTACTTGGTTTGCATGCAGGTGTTGGCACACAATGACATGTTGATACGTAACTTCGTTTGTTTACGATCGCCTCAGAGGGCAGAAGATAGTCAGATACTACATAGGCCTGGTTACTACGTTATCACGCTTCGCTTTGCAAGGCCTCTCATGTAGCAGTACCTCTAACCGTTTTGCTTATGACAGTGATCGGAAAAGCACGTGAGCTTTGAGCATGCAATCACGGGCTGACGGATGCCTGCCGGCAGTTGTTTGGACCCTTACGCCGCATGCAACGCGAGCCTCAAGGTTCAAGGCATCATGGGCGCAAGAAGTAAGCATACAGATGGAGCTCTTGCAATCTGTTTCTCATCCGACAGGGCTTGGCTTCAATCAATTGCGTAATCCGAGCGGGAGGCATAAGTAGAGACTTGTGAGAGGGAGACGTGTTGCAAGACTTCCTCTACCAGAGTTCCTTGTCACGCGTAGTTTGCAATCGAACTGTCACGGCCATGTCTTCATGGTGAGTCCCCATGCGAAGGCAACTTGCGCACAAGCAGCTCCAAGCAGATTCCTTGAGACGCCGTCGCCAGGAGACATCCAGATCCCAGAAGATTTCTCGAGGCCGCCCAGTGACTGCTGCCCTCCGGTGTTGCCCTTCGACTCTACTTGCTTGAAGCCTTTACGATTTATGTTGTGATGAATCTTCAAGCTTGTTCTGAGATTACAAATTGACAAAGAGCCCTTGGGCCAGCTACCTATGAGATGCTGGAAATGCCAGCCTGAATGGCGGCATGCAGATTCCGCAGGCCGCTAGGAACTGTTCATGTATCTCACAGTCGACCATCCGTGATGTAAGCTTAGCTCCTAACGCAACACCGCTCGACAGCGATGGAGCTGCAACCACTGGCGGTCGATGAGACGGGCCAGCTATTGACACAGCCCCTGGGTTCAATCACGTCCTGCTTGGGCCGGGAATGGGAAGCTGAAGACTCGTGTTTGTTTCGCACTTCAGCCTTGAACCGCACTATCCAGGACTCTGCCTGCACGGCCAAGTCATGACCGAACTGGTTCTCGGCTTGCTTGCCGCGTGCTATATCATTTCTTTCTAGTCGCCTGTTGGCATCTTGGTGAGTTTTGTTTCTGGAGCAACCTGTGTAGATCACCAGTCAGAGTGTCAACTTATTTCTCCCAGGTTGTGGTCGTGCTTGCGCTAGCCATCATCTGCTTCGCTGCGGCGCATCCTTTACATGACTTCTCTCTTACCAGACTAGTTGGGTTGGCAGCTGTCGGCGCAGCTCCAGTATCAATCGACCCGAACAGCATCGAGCCCCCGGTCGTGAACACGACTAGATTGCTTCAGCAGGCCGGCCCCGCACAAGCAACATGCTAGACCATCTGGAACGGACAGCTTCGCCTTGCAGGCTTTGCTTTACGGACATGCATCTGTGGCCACGACGACGAGTGCAAAGAACCACTCCTGGCCACCTGCAGCACTGAAACATGCAGGCCCGGAATCAAGCCATGCTGGGCGCTTGAGGATCTGTTGAGGCCTCGAAGGGAAAGCTGGCGTTTTAGTGGCCCGACCGAGGCGAAGACTGCTGGCGAGCTTGCGGAAACGCATCCGGCGATTGTGCCTGGTGTGGTATAGGAAATGCCTGCTGCCGGCAGGGCGCAAAGTTGGACCCGCCAGAGTGCGAAGGCAACTTGCCGAAACACTGGGATAAGGGCTTAGCAAAGCTGGATAGTCAATCCGCTGTGTTTCGGCACGAGCTGTCGGAAGACTCAACCCCACCCGGCACCGTCAATTTTGCCTGTCTCCAGCTGTCAACCTTATTGAGGTGCTACCTTCGCGACCACCAAGTGGCATACCTGCGTGACGCCAGCAAAGCGTTTTTTCCTGAAGCATGCATCACAAGATCCCTGTCACGGATGAGTCTGTTGTTGGAATTGTTGATCGTGGCCTTCGAAGTTAGATAGGGTCGTCTGTGTTGAGATCAAGTTGGGATGTTTGAGGGCCCTTTTGTCCAACGTAAGGATTGCCTGTTACACTGCAATGGCCGCAGTGGGTATTGCGACTGGTGCGGTTCAGGCGAAGAGCTGCTTGGTAACCCTGAATCCCTTAACCTATAAACCCCAAAGCCTACCTTAACCCCTAATAACCTACCTTTTCAAGGATCTTATTATAAAGAAATCTGGACTGACTTTGCGGATAGGCCAAACCAGAGAGCCATCCCTGGCAGGAAATGTTTGCTGCATGCAGAAGGCTGTTTCCCTGGACGCTCCAGAGTGCAAGGGCGCGTATTCTTTCAGAGTTAGCAACGAGTATCGGTGTGTGGCTCGGATTTGCAGCATTGGTGAGGATCACATTGGACTTGACTGTATCAACAAGTGTTGGTAAAAGTTGTACATGCAGCACTACTTCTGCCGGCAAGTTTTTGGGGCCTTGCTGCAGAAATCGTTCCTTCCTTGAAAAGACCCCACGAGCTAGCACTGTCAGAAGGAGAGCCTGGCTAAGGTGCCCACCACGGGTGTTTGTGATGTGGGAGTGGGAGAGCTTCCAGATGGCTACGGTGGCTGCAAGAAGCCAGACACGGCTCCATCCACCGGATTCTACATGTACAAGGCCTGGGAATTCGGGAGAGGCCAGATGTAAAAGAACATATCAATAAGGTAAATCATCAGAAAAATTGCAAACAGTCTGGCCAAGTTTAAGCTGGTGGTGTGACGGCATCAGGCCATCAGGCCTGTTTCATCTCATTTCGCACATACGATGTGTCCCAGCCTTCCATTTCGCGTAGACTGAAAATCACAACAATAGAAAAACAGCATGCTTCCAGTAGCAGTGTGTAACCGTAGAACCTGCTCAGTACCGCATTATAGCATACTGCCCCATAAACATGCTATCCGGAAGCTTTGATTCGGACACTCAGGCTGAATCCTAACCCCAAGTCTTATATGTGAAGTTTGCTTTCATGTTCGAGCATAGCCTAGCTTAGCAGGCTGCCCATGGGGCTCAGGAGGGCCCCCCACTTCACAAAAACAAGCTCCGAAAAAGTGATCTGAGACAGTTTCCTGTGCCCGTGCCCTGTACAGCATGTAGCATGCCTTGTAGCAAGGTAGCACTGTGCGCAGGCCTCCTCACCGTTTTGGCCTCGTGAGCTGAACTTGAGCACGAACATGGGAGTCTTGGCTAAAGCTGTTCAGCCAGAATTGTCAACTTATGCAGGGTGAAGACTACGAAATGGTCCGAGATGTTTTGAAGGTGTGCAAGCAACTTTTTCGACACTACTTGGCTGAGGCAGTTTGGGAGGTGTTCTTTGGCACCGGCCTGAGGGAGGGCTTCGCCCGGCAAAAGCAACGCGCAGCTCCAGTCAACCCCTCACCCACTCCTCGTGAGGTATTTGCACAATGACATCGTCACAGAATGTCCGCGCAAGCACGGAATCGATCGTCGCTGTCCCAATTCATGCCTGGAAGATGTCAGAGCAGTCACAACGACAAACTACATACTCTGTGCACTGAAAGGAATTGAGCGGTTCTTTGTCACGACCAAGCCGACCGACGAGCTTTATCGGAACGGCAAACGTTTGTTCGACAGTGCCTGGACACGAAACTTATGCCTGCCGCGCTTGAGAGCCTGAATCTTGAGCGTGTTTTTCCCCGGCAAAGGCTTCCGAGAATTCCGACAAGCAGCTTGGACTCAAGAGGTGAGATCGGTCGGAGGTGATTTCGGTAAGAGTGTGTTTTCTGCAAAGCATTCATGCTGTGGCGCCAAAGCCAAGGGCAAAGTGCAGGACCCCACCTTCAAGGCTCGTGGGGATGAGACCATGAGCTGACTTGCTTCAAGATATTGTGTTTCCCAGTTCGCGGCCAATATGCGGCTCCATCGGTTCGTGTGCTGCAGTATTGTGTTTTAGCTACCTGTTTCAGGCAACTCACTGGGATAAGCAACTCGGACAGCACTGATGTTGTTGCGGACGTGTCACAGTTCATCATAATCTGCAGCATTCGTCAGCCTCACTGCATCTTCTTGTAATCGCCAAATCTGGAGCAAGAAGAAGCAGTGAGAATGTCAATTGCAGTGACAATTGCAATGGCCCTGGCAGTAGGTACACCCGTGGCACTCTAGCCCGGAAAGCCGGAGAATTGGTAGCAAGCAGCAGCAACCGGAGGAGTAGCAACAGTACGTAACGGGAATATGCAAGCAAAGTTCCTTGACATCGACACATCAAAGGAGATTCGGCAGAAAAGGCGCGATGCGTTTTTGTTAGCATGGCTCAGGTACGGCTACAATGTGGGCTGTGTCCGAGTTGACCCGAGGCAGTCCACAGTCGTGCCCTGAGCAATTGAGGCGCGAAAATCTAGCAGAGCGCCAGGATGCTGCCGATAGCTCAAAGTGAGGCCTTTTACCCTGATGCCATTTGGTATTCACTCCCTGGGCGATGCCCAACGCAAGAGCTCGAACGTGGCTTGGGCTGCATTGTCTAGTTTTCTTGACAACAGTAGTCCAATGTCATGTCCTGGCACATCGACTGCTGCTGCGCTGGTTGCAGCCAAAGGGTATGTGCTTGAGGACGGCGGGCAGCTGCATGTTTCTTAGGCAAAACAGAAAGATGCGAGCTTGAACAGCCCGGTGGGTATTGTCCGCTGCCCAGATGTCAGAATGAGGAACATGAGAAGCGCAAGAGACGCAAACACGCCAGCAGTGTTATCCACGAAACGACTGCCACCAGGTGATGTGCCGAACGGTGCCTTAGCTGCGGTGTTTGCCTGCTTGGCTCTGCACCTGCAGTGACACACAACGCATAATGTCCTTCAGAAAACTTCAGGTAATCATACTTGCACTTGGACCGCGACCTATGCAGGGGAGGCTGGCATCTTCCCACACCCAGTGCGATCTGCTGGCATCATGCAAACCTTGCTGAAAGGTGTTGCTTGATGACCTTTCTGGCATAACAGATCCAGAGCCTTGACTCCAGAATTCCTGGGGGGGATGCACCGATGGTACGGCGGCGTGGCATGTCCTAGGTCTCGTTCTGCAACTTGGGCGGCTTCGAGTACGACATTGGCCTGGATACAGGAATCCAAAACGACTTTTGGAATGGAAAGCTGAATTTGGAAGCATGCAGCCGTCGTGTCGACCAAGTGCAGATCGAGCCGCTTGTACTTGCATTCACGCCTGAGGTTGCCACGCTTAGCGACTGTCTAAGATGTAGATGAAATTTTGCTGACCTTCCATGACAAGGTTCGCCAAGAAATATCCTTATCTGCCTTCGGCACTGGACCGACACCCTTGCAGCCATGAATTGCTGGAATAGCCTGCTGTCGCTCCAATTCCGATCCATGTCAAGCAGTTCGTGGAACTTGTGAAGCGTGATTTAGTTTAAGCCAAATTTGGACCTGGCGACGATTAATCGGGACCTCGAACCGCCTTCCTGTATGATCTGTATGCAGGCTTCTTAGTCCAGCGGATTGGAGGCAAAGCCCGACTTTCCACCGGTAATGTCTTACGCCCCAAAGCGCGGCATCTTTTATCGCAAAAAGCCGTCAATGGCATGAGTTCAATTTTTGCAGAACCTCACAGCTTCCACGGATTTTCGGCAGCTCAGGCACCGCACAATGTGGCATAGCATACCTCCACTCCAAGACAGTCACTGTTCTGCTGCTCATGTTGGCGCATCTCCTGAGCATGGCTCGTCTTGCCTCCTACTTCGTTTCTTTGAGCCCTACAGCTAGACTGCTAGCCGTGGCAAAGTTGCACGTGTACTGACGATTGGCTGCTACCTGCGCAGTGACGCTGCTCTCCATCACTGCCACCGCTCCTGGCAGAAGCTTTCCAGTGTGGAAGGCCATGCTCCACGATAAGAGCCAACTTCCACGCTGTTAACATCGTTTGGGTTTTGCCTAGACAGCGGGACTACCAGCTAGACCGTTGGTGTTAGACATTGTTAGACTTGCACATCGCAGGTTGCATGGCAGAGGTACTAGCAGTGCACAAGGATGACCTTGCGATCGGCAGGTGTTTTTCAACAACCGCCGCATTTTACGCGATGCCTGCAGCTCAGAGCCGCGTGAGAGACGAGATAATAAGGCCGCTGCGCTGTTGAGAAGAGGTGATCCGATGCTGGGCGAGTGCCTTCCTTGGCACGGACATCAACCATGAGGCGAGGGACCTCGAACGTCAACCGTCAGCTTGGCTTGAGTATAAATCTCCTGCGAGTGTTGCCACTGTGTTGATCAGATTCCCTCGCATGCTACCGCCCGGGCTTCGGACAAGACTCTGGACCCGGATAGTCGCATTGGAAGCCAGGCTCACAGCAACCATCATCTGCCGTTGCAAGGTTTTGCACTTGCAGCTATGCGAAAGTCGCTGTAGCACAAGGTTTGCGCAGCGTTCTACCCATTCGCCACGGTGGCTTGGACTTGGACCCGAGAGAGATGTTTCGGCCTTTTAGAAGCAGAAGAAGACCTGCGGAAGCACGGCCCAGGCGCCTACAAGCTTGAAATCACTTGGCCAGCCGATGCTCTGTCAGAAGCTCAAACTGCTTTTTCCCGAGTCGTGCAATTCTCTCGACACGCGCAGTTCATGGCTTCAGGTTGAACCCTGTTGTTGTTCTCGCATGGTTTGCTTGGCTCGCAGTCACCTGTTTCAAGCAAGGCTCCCCAATCCCCAACATGAGCTCTGCATTCGCTGCTACTAGCAAGGTGGATTGGGTCATAATTAGTGCGAAGAACCAGACATGAGATCTTTATGCCGCAGCCGTAGCTTGGTGCCTTCAAACGAGAAATCTCGCTCATGCAGCCTCCCTGGCATATTCAGCCCAACAACCTGCCACTGCGTATAGTGTTCATTCCTGGAAGCTGCTATGGGGGCCATTCCGATTTGCTGTTCCGAAGAAAAGTCGCCAGACGGCGACCACGAGACTATGGTTGCAGAGGTCGCCATCCGCACCTTCTTGTCAACTTATGAGGGCTTGCAGGTGGTCATCAGCATCAATGACCCATGAATCAACATCAGCGTCGTTGTTGCTAGCACCGACTTATTTCTACAACAAGAGATTGCGCAGCTGCTCCTGCTAAGGCGAGGATCCTGGATTCACCTCCGCGCCGCTTGTGATAACATTCCTGCTCCCAGATGGGGTGAGCACGTGCCCCGACGCAAGTGTTGCAGTCATGCACAATCGCCATATCCCCGCGGGTGACAAACTCTCGCTTGGTTTTGTGATCCATCCACGCGATGAGAAGCTCGTCAGGAGAGATGTATGGTTCTACGAAAGCCCTCTCGGTTTGGACTTCAGCATGCGCTTGCCGAGACTTGACATGCATCGTTCTGCTGATGCTGTATACCGATACAAACATGGATAGACACTCAAGGGAAGGGTAGACTTTCAGGACAATTGCACCTGCATTGCTTGGAGACAGCTTGGTGTGCACATCTTTACTGCTCTTGGCTTCGTTAGAGCCTGTGTTGTTATGGTTCTCTTTGGACATGCATCAGGCAGCAACTAAGGGCATGTGCAACGTGTGGACAAAAAGAGCATCACTGCATCGTTCACAGAGCGCGCACATACCTCTGTGCGATGTTTTTGTCGCGAGACTGCTTTTGCGTCCTCTTTAAGCATGCCCGGCTCAAGTACGATGATAGAGATAAGTTGCACAAGTTTAACAAGAAAGACATCACTGAGGATGCAGCGTGAATCTAAGGATGAAGGTGAAGGCCGTCAAGCCTGGCTTCATTGGTGAGCACAGCAAGGCTGTCCAAAGATCCGACATAGGCAACTGGCGCTGTTTGTAAAGTAGCTCAGGAGTCACTATAATATACAAAATATATCTTGTATATATATATATATAAACCCACGAATCTCATCTTGTATGTCCTCGCAAAATTCATCGGCAATGCTGATACCTGCATCGGCATGTGCGACACGCCGCATTTGCCGAATAGGTCTGTTGTTGGCATCAACATTTGCCTTGGACGACTCTTTTGTCTGATGGGTATAGTAAATATTGGTTTTACCGGAGAAACCAGCATGATGAGCTCGTTTGCATCCACCTTCGCAGCTTGCGATTCCACAGCTGACGAGTATGTATAGTATAGTGGCATTGTGGTACCAGCATTTCTTGGTCGCATATCCATTCCAAGGTCCTCTTTGGGCACAAGGTTACATGATCAAGTAACCTGAAGCAGTTTTTAGTGTGGGGTAGTGGGGAGAGAGGAGCTCAGAGTCACAAGTCTCACTCAGTCGCCGTTTCCAGACCACCAAACTTGAAGTCCTCCAATCCCCGACTGAAACGCCGACTGAGAGTTCCTAGCTCCCAATGCCTGACCATGAGCTTAAGACTGCTTAAGCATCAAGCTCAAGTCTTGTCCTTTCGTCGTGCCGTCTAAGAGTCTAAGCCGTCTAGGCTGGAGTCTAACGCTGAACAACCGCCGCTACCTCACATCGAAAGGCTTTTGCGCATGGCTTCACACCAGAACCCTTGCAAAGACGTCTCTCGTTTCATGCAGGGAACGGCAGCCTTTGCGATGTTCCTGAGGTTTCAGACGCAGTCCTGCAAGTTGAGGTGACACATCTAGTGAGCATCGTGTTGGTGCCGAGAACGACATGCCTGCAGGTGCAAGTTGGCTGGACCATCCTGAAAATCGACGGCAGACCCGCGCCGGGCAGCTTCGATGCGACGCTGATGATGCTGCAAACGTGCCTTGTCTCGCATCCAGGAGGCCTTGCTACTAGTCCGTGCACTTGCCAGCACAGCCAAGGAGGCTACAAGGGATGAGGCGTCACTGACCGTCCGTGAACCCACGAAGTTTGATCTGATGGGTGTGCTGGCAGCCGTCGTCAAAAGTGCGACCTCCCACACCTGTCTGTCCATGCAGCACAATGTTTTCCGTAAGCTGCTTCGGAAAGCAACCTTTACTGGATTGCATGATACAGGTTGCTGACAGTTGCTGCATGCGCCTGAAATGAAAGCAATTGTGCCAAATCAGTATCAGTTGAAGGTCTGGCCTCGGCCGTCCGGATTGCGCGATTCCTGCGCTGACAGTGCAAAGAATGCTTCGTACTTGCTGACAGCAGGTTTCTGCAGGGCTGTCTCCTCCAACATTGATGGATTCGCTATGAGTCAGCAGCAGGCCTGCGCCGTCATGACGGACTCACACTCACTGACATTGATGTGTAAGACTGCTGTTCCGCTTAATTTGGCCATAGCCGGCCCCAATGCTGCAAGCCTTCAAATCTTGGAACGTTGAACCTGCATAACACCTGCTTTCACTCGCCTGCGCTGAATCTTCCGTTCGCGCACGGCTTGATCTTATATGCCCCTGTTTCAAGCTGCTTCAGCTGCGGTATGCCGCAGCCAAAGAGGGCAAGAGGAGGAGCGAAGGTGCTTCAGAGAAAAGAGTCACGATGGCGGCAGCTGTCTCTTTTTTGATCCTGAATTTATCTGCCGGAGGCCAGGGACGGTGGCCAAAGCCTCCGCAAAGGCCGAGAAGATGCAGCAGGGAGCGAGGTCCAAACTTCGCAAGCCTCGTCCTGAGAGATACCCTGCAGAATGCTTGGCAGTATGCCGTCAGGAGCGTCCCCTTGCAGCGCGTATGTCATGTTTGTGGCGTTTCCTGAGGTTACATCCCAGTGCAAGATATTGCCATGTAGACAGACGCGTCCGTGCCACCAGATATTCCGGGTAGTGGGCAGCTGAGTAGAGTGATCTGGTAGCCAGTAGCTAAGCTGCATCCGAGGTGATGGGCTGGGGATCCTCCAGCACTCACAAATCCAAAATCCAAGCAGGCGTTTACTCTCAAACTAGAGGCAGGGACAGAATCTAGCATGGCAGGACAGAAGCTCGAATCACTGTACCAGTGCTCCGCACCGTTGTATTTTCACTGTGCCAGCCGCGGTGGAAGGTCACTATCCAGAAGCACAGCTGGCCCGTGCAATGCGGACGCAGCTAGCTGAGAGCATGTGTCAGCACATTGACATACAGGCCTATAGGTCGTTTCATCTGAGTGTTTTCTGAGCGAGCTGTATCAGTGTTGCACATGCTCCTTGGCGGTTGGGAGAGCTATTCTGCTTCTCAGTCCGAACTTGCCAAGGCCCCCCTTGCCCAAAGATGGAAGGGTTGAGCTGCGAAGCTGCGCGCCTCAGCTATTGAAGAGGTATGCAGCAGCTCTTCTCCACGAATGTATACGGCACATTTTCAAGTGTTCTTTCAGGTCGCTGCCTGGCAGCTGTGGATGACAACGACAAGGTGCCGGCAACCACTGCAGCATTTTGCACTTCTGTGGTGGCACAACGGTATCAGAGTGATTGAAAAGGCAGCTCCGCAGCAAATTCGCAAGCTCTAGACTCTAGATAGTTGCCGGCAAAGGCTGCTTCTGGCAAGAAACATGGACACAATCCCTCTTGCTAGACCGACCCCAACCGCATCTGACAGATTATCCACCATAGAATTTGCACAATTGCTTTGCCAGACAATGTCAAAACACACACTCAAGCTAGGAACATGGAGACTGCATGTAGAGCTCTAGCACGCAAGCACAGACCAACAATTACTCTCTACGCTGTGCAAGAGCGGATGCGGCTGTGACCATCCAGGCCGGTAGAATTGGCTTTGGACCTCTTTTGCCTCCTCGGACCACCCGTCAGGATGTCGGCGCGCGAGGTCGAGCTGGAGGTTGGCAACAGGCATGGTGCATCTCGTGCAAAACGCCTGAGAAGCAGACGAGGTGACGCCCGACACCTTCGGGTTCAGTCAAGGCAGTTCCTTCCTAAGCTTGTCGAAAAGAGATACGCCAATGTGAAGATGAGGTGTTGGCCCACACCGCGTGAAGACCTGAGAGGCTCTGGCTTGCGGAACCGCCACCAAGCTGTTCCCAACGGAAGTGCCGCCGCGACCTTTGCGCTCTCGACTGCTGGTGTTTGTGTTGCAACATGTGCTGATGTTCGGGCATGTCCCGGCACCTAGCCTAGCATGTCCTTCTGCATTTTTACGCAGGTAAGCTACAGCTACTGCTGCACGCAGCAGTCGGGCATAAGTCGTATCAGCCAACTGTGCATGCTTTGTGAGATCGACGAAGACACTGGGTACCCGCGCGTTCTTCAGGAGGCCATCTGACTGCGGCATTGCACCGGCAAAGTGCTGCAGCAACATTACCAGGCCTCATCGCTGCAAGAGCGCAGACAAAGTCGGCCTCTCAACTCTTGCTCCTGCTCTCATGCTTGGATTCGTGGGCCCGACCGCAGGCTTCATTTTGGTCCTCATCTCTGGAGTCGATGTCATCAGCCAGTACCCTACAGCAGGAGGTGATGTAGTCGGTGCTTTGTACATCTTTGTACGGCAGGCGGCTCTGTGCGGTAGCATTGTAAGCAAATCAGTGAGATGGCACAGACTATGCTCCGCATGCAGCCAGAGTTTACGCAGGCAGTGCCGTCATGATGGGCGTTGCCTTCAAGTTTGCGTACCGAGCCATTGGGGCATCGCTGTACTGCCTGGGCTTGCAGGCCCTCGGTGTCATCGTCTGCAGTACATCAAGCCACCGCAAGTTACAACAAGTAAGGAACGAAGAAGCTGGTGCGTGCGCTGTTTGTAGGCCATCTCCCACATGCTGTCTTCCATCATTTTGATCGTGCGCTTGGTGGGAGAGTTGGGTGTGTCGGGCCCCACAGAGACATACCAAGATGTTTGTCTAGTAGGGCTGAGCCCCCTGCCTAGGCCACAAGACGCGGAGGAATCCCTGCTCAGGCCAGAGGATCACGCCGGGCTGTGATTCTGTGGTGTACACAACGAAGTTTGCCTTCAGGGAAAAGCGACGACGCTTCTTGTACCGGGAGCAGGGTCTTAACGTGGCTGCTAGGCTGAATGGTTGCATGAGGGCGCTGACATGATGCCGAGCCGAAGTCTGAAGCTTAGGTTATGGGCCTTGCCATGTTGGTTGCTGCAGCTGCCCTCGTTTTCAAGGTGCGCTGACTAGCAAGCCTTTGCATGAACGTTTAGCTCGAAGTCGATGCATGCACAAAGAGGTCGGAAAAGGTGTCCTGTTTTTCGTTTCTCTCCAATACAGGACAGGGGTGGCGAACAAGGTTCAGGAACCAAGTACCCACCACGACCGCCACAGGCTTGCAGTGTCTTTAAACTGGTATCAAAATGCCAGTCATGTGCTGTGAGTACACATCACTGCGCCCTCAGCATGGGCAACAAGCAAGGCGTTTGCCACAGAGTCATCTTCGTCACCAGGATCGTCATCATCATAACCATCATCATCGGCAGCCTCTGTCGGCCACTTCTTGCTCTTTTCGGGGTGAGAAAATAGAACGTAGCGATGCGTGACTGCTTGCAATTTTATCAGCGCCAGCCTTCCAGCCTCGCTTATCCAGCCTTTTGCCAAGACCCGCCAACGGAGACAATTTGGGAGTTTCAGACTGCCGGGCATGGAATGCATTTCATTGAAGAAGCGTTGCTGTGTATAGTTTTTCTCGTCCGAGGCCTGTGGCCGCGTCGTTTATCTGATTGGGAAGGAGAGAAGATTAAAATTGGTCCTGGTCCCGCTCGTCGATTCCAGCGAGTCGCAAAGACCATCCAAACCAGCCCAAACAGGTACACGGACCAGTTGCACCCCAAGGGATAAAGACCCTCGAAAATCAAGTGAGATGCCAGACTTGGCCGTGCTATAAGCTTCCGCTACGGGGCTCGCCGGAGTGCAGCGACGAGAGGGCTTCAACTACAAAGGCTAGTCTTACGATAGCCTTGCTGTGCGAGGCGGCCCGGAAGATCAAGTTCTGGGACAAGTCGCTCGCCCAGCACCATGACCTCGGCATGTCTCACATTTTGACGAGATCATAGCAACATCGAGGTGGTACCTGGATCACCGGGACATGGATACAGAGGCAGGACCAAGCCAAAGCCAAACCTTATGATAGATGCGTGTGGCTCCGATCATGGCACATGGCAGGCCCAGTGGGCTACGGAATTCCTGGCATGGTACGGCTTCGCCTTCTACCTGCTTCAGGCTGGAAACTGAAATAAGTAAGGGTACCCCCGAGCACGCTGTGAAGCAATGTTTCCTTTTGCTTGAAGGCAATCGCGCGCTTCTTCCTTGGGCGAAAGCTGCGAAGGGGCATTGCCTGACTCCCAGTGCAGCAAGCAACCTTACAGGACTTGCTCGAGTTGCGTTTCGTGCTAGGGTGTGGATAGACAGGGGTGAGGTCAGCCGCAGACAAAAAGGAAGGCCGGAAGGGGTAAAGGCTGGGAGGCGGGGGAGGGGGGGGGGGGGNNCTACTTGGGGGCCTATGGGTAGTTACATGTGTGTTTGTGTGTGTGTGTGTTTGTGTGTGTGTGTGTGTGCGTGTGTGTGTGTGTGCCTGTGTGTGTGTGTATGTGTGTGTGTGTGTCTGCGCATCAATGTGGGTGGGTGAGGGTGAGCGACGGTTTTGTAGCAGACTCGACGATTGCAAGAGGCTTCAGCAGTTCGGCAACATAGCCCACACTCCAAGTAAAACCTTGAAGAAGGTTGCTCTTTGGTGTGTTATGCAAGTCATTCAAAGTCCAAGGTTTGGAGTGCACTGGTGAACTCAGTCATCAGTCTGGTCTTTCTTCTGGCCGTTGCCTCAGTCTCTTTGAAGAGCCCGGAAAGCATGGCATGACAATTGCAGCAATAGCTAAGACACCCAAACTTGTCAAGCCCAAACAAGGTCATGGGATTGGCAGCCAGCTATGAGAAGGAAGGGATGTGGAAGGACTGACCTTAGCAGCGTCTGTTTCGCCGAAAATCATTCAAGAACAGCAACATGCTGGTCAGGCAGAACCGATTTGCGCCATTGTTCTTGCAATTGCACGCAGCTCAGAGTTCAAAGTCAACTTCAGATAGCCCACGTGCAAAATCTTCTTCGCTGCGACACTGCCATCGAAAGTGATTTCCCAAAACAAGCGTTTCCAACTATTCTTCATAGTTTGCATTCTGCTGTTTGCGAGCGGGGTCTTTGAGCAGACCCAGACCCAGTGCAGTCTAAGGTCAGCGTGGTCGAGGGCATACGGATAGTCATCTCCAACATGGATGCGTGTGGCTCAGGATTTTCAGGTGCAAGTCCTTTTGCCTTCTTGTCCCTCTCCTGGCCAGATCTCGGCACTCTCCGAGTGCAGACGACGACGGCATTAGCAGTAGTAGCAACCGCAAGCAAAGCAGCAGAAAAGCACACTGATGCGGTGCCAGCGCCACGACCGACGGCAGCTGCTACAATCTGCTACAATATCGCATCTTTTTATGCAAGGCTCACCTAGCGTTGTGCATCAGTATATAAATCAAAATTACAACTCCAATGCGCAAAGCTGCAAAGTGACACACGATGACGAAGTGATCTGTGATGATGATGATGATGGTGATGGTGATGTTATCACGACTTCACTTAGTATCGGTGCTGACGGGCATGATTACAATCGTGATCATGATGATTAGGATCAGCATGCTGAAAGGCCATGGCGATCGTGACAATTATGGTGGCGATGTTGGTTATTGTCATGGTGGCTATCGTCGGTGTCACGACAACAAGAGGAAGTCAACAAAACTGTTAAACTCGGCAGCCAGCCAAACCCTACAGTCTTACAAGTGACTCCATCAGAGATAGGAGACATGCTTTTGGGCTTGGACCTGCTTGGACGGCGTACTGGGACGGTCACGATTTATGGCCTTCTCCAAGCACTTTTCTTACGAGCACAGCCTTTTGGGACTCGATCTTGGAAGTGTCGACTTCGCAGAAGCTGAGGGTTAGACAAACTTAGACAAAAAGACCTACCGTGGGCATGGGATGCAGTTTTAGTAGGATCCGACTGCTTCACAGCCTGAATAAGAAGAAGCGTGCCATGTCGTGTCCAAACGGCCTTTTTGAGTGCGTGCTGAGGATATGGAAACTCGTATGCGATTTGATGCCAGGGCGTAGCTCACGCGAGAACTTCCAATGTGAGTTCTTGTGAGAGTCAGGCGACCGTCTTTGATACCCGCACAAAGTGTGCGGCAATTAAGCAGGCCACTAGCAGGCCTGCTACAGAAAGTGCGGCGCTCCAGAGCAGTTAGACCAGGACACTCGCATTAAAGAATAGATGTTTGCAGCTCGACCTGGTAGCTGTTGTGGTGCCATGCATGATGCACGAAGTTCAGACTTGGCTCGCACCACGGCTGTACATTTCCTAGCTGAAACGGCTGGATTATGTGCCTTGTCAACAGTTGTCCGCGGCCTGCATGGAAAAAGCTTAGTTCCTAGCATTAAGGCTCTCCGGCGAGGGTTGGTGGGTGCATCCTCCACAGGTCCTCTTCGAAGTGAAACTGTCCGGCTCTGGCCCCACAATGTGCAGAAAGAAGCAGAACTGAGAACTGCGAGGTAGATCCTCAGAGCTTGTGAGACCGTGGATCGCAAGGCCCGGATCAGCTGATACAGAACTGGGAGGCCGCGGCTGTACAGCGACGGCTGTTGCACCCGAAGCTTCTTGCACAAATGCCCCATATTAGTGAACTATCACTAGGTCACTAAGAAGGTGTTTGCTCGTGCCTACTCCGGCGCTTGTATGCATCGCAACATTGTTTCTTGTGGAGGGAGATGTGCTGTTTGCGCGGACACACAGTGCAGGCTGCATGCCAGCGGTACGAGAGCTTCCTGCAGCAGAGGGGCCAGAAGCTAGACAAGCAGGCCCAGATGTTATATGTACATACTTATTGCACAGAAAGACATGCATCTATGTTTGCGCATTTGCTGAGACATGTGACATGTTTACCCGCTGTGAAGGCATTGCAGGTGCCGCATCCTGTCTTCATTCCCTCACGGGGTCGACCAGAGAAGGCCAGAGCTGTCAGTGTGGCTTCCTAGCAACGACATCCCCTTCCCACTTGAGGGTGCAAAGAGCCAAATATGTTTATGTATGGTCAGTATGGTGTGGAAGGCACATCTCAATTGGGAAGCTCCGCATGTTTTCGGCCCCCAGGCCAGGCTGTGAAGCTTTTGTTTAATTAGTTTGAGCGATGGAAGACTGCGTTTCGGCGTCACAGGAGAAGGAACCAGGCTTGGCGCCCGTCGTTTGCATCGTGGTCGAGCCCGAAGAGGAGGTTGCTTGGCATCGCTTGGCCCAGACTTTTTGTCGGATCGCGTGCCTCGCAGATTGTCCGGATTGGGTTCCGAATTTATTTAACCGGCAGGCGAGCGAACTAAGTACTTTAAAGGTTTTAAAACTAGGTGGGCCAGGTAGGGCAATTTCAATTTCTGTACTGTAGTTGTAGGAGGCTTTTCATCGGCTCTGCTAACTTCCAGGAGGCCTATCGGGGGACCTGGCCACTTGCTTTGATGCTCGTCCTTCCCGAAGGCTTGCTCCTCAGTGTACGGAGCATCTGTGCACTCCCTGAAAGCAGAAGCAGATGCAACCGAGGCAATCGCGGACCAGGCTACGCTCGGTGGGTGTGGAGCTCGTGTCCCCGATTGACTCCCTGTAACCGATATCTTGCTCAGAGCCGATGAGGTTGTCCAGACGGTGTGTACTCGGGCAACCGTCACTGGAGGTCTGCAATGTTTTCCGACTGCAGTGGCTTGCAATCAACACAGCTCAGGATGCGCTGGACCCTGTCAGACGGCAACGATGCTACGCCGCTTGGGAAGGAAGTCGAAGTGCTGTGCCTGCACATTTACACTCATACCACTCATACGCAAGAATGGCGACATAAGCATTTGACATGGGATTGCTGAAGAGTGGCTCAAGACAGCTTGGCAATGCTTGGCTTCGGCGCCAGGATCTGGATCGTGGACGACACTTTGACCACGTTCTACAGGCTACTGATGTGCCCTGCTTTGTGTCTTGGCGCTTTCATTCACCTCTTGAATCCTCTTGACCTCCTGCGTGAGCAGGTTGGCCTGGATGCACAACTTCCGCCAGTGCGGCAGATTGGCAAGGCCATGTTTGGGTAGCGAAGCTACAGACATGTACAGTACATCGTGCACAGAATGCGAGCTACACCGTCGTGTACGACAGGCCTAAGCGGATGAAGCACAGAGTTGCCAGCAGCGAGCTGATGTTCGTGGAGGCAGTGTCCTCGATCACGCCAGTCAAAAGACGAAATGCTCTTCATCGTGGCAGGCACTTTTGGCAGTCCAGCGCCATCCGTTTGCTGGCAGGTCGGGAGAGAGCGTTGCTTTTGGAGGGTGCAGCTGTTGCTCTCCGCTGGTCGGGGGCGGCAGGGCCTGGGATCTCAGTTTTTTCAGGGCCGCGGTGGCTGGTTTCTTACGAGACGACGGCACCGCTGTCTGCAAGCGTCAGACGCTCAGCGCCACAGCCTGGCAGTGAGCCGTGGCAGAGAGCAGAGGTGCCGAGTGGAAGCTGGACGAGCTCGCCCTGTACAAGGCCGGGGCTATTCACTGAAACTAACATAAACCAGATTATACCATTGTAAAATAAATTAGATGGTAGCATCGTTGCAAGGTGGTGCTCCTGGACTTGAACGAGCTTCGACGTTTGCAAGTCGAGTACGTGCCGGGTCTACAGATGTACGAGGACGGGGCTCGTGCCACAGCGGCAGCCTACGGCAAATACGGCAAAGAAGCGGAACTCTTGTGAATGGCATAAATGGAGAAGCTGATGCAGTACTAAACCATTGAGAATGGGGCATCTTGGACTGTTTGCGCCGACTGCCGACAGAGGACATCTGTCTCAATCACGACGTCCTGAGCAGGGGAGGTCGAACCCTGAAATGCCAGCGCCCGAGAAAACAGATGGAGCTTCGCATATGCATTACCTCGTGCAGTTCCGAGACATACATCCTGGAATGTTCGCCTAGTGCAGGTCAGTGCTACGGCTTTCGAGCCGTGCACGCAAAGATGGCCTGGGGCTCTGCCATTTACCATTATGTGGAGTTTGCCTCACCCCATCGCGTCGTGAGGGAGGCTGTTTACAGCAGCGTGCTGGACATCGTGCTGCAGGACATCGGCTGTTCCGAGATGATGATGGTTTGAAATCCGTCGTTTTGCACCACATCTCGTTTCTTCACACGCAGGAAAGAGCACGGGCATTACCAAGCTGGAGGATCTAGCTAGCATCTCAGTGGGCAGTTGCTTCTGGATGGTCAGGTGCCTCATTTGACAACACCGTTCCGCTTAGCTGCACTGAGCTCTGCGACGCTCGGCTTGTGTCATGCTGGGCGAGGTCCAACCTGCTGCTTTTGCGAGCATGGGCCACGACAGACAGAAGGTGGGACTACGTCGCATGCAAAACCTCACTTGGAAAGACAAGTTCAGCGAGAGCGCTCCTGTCCGGACGGTGGCGCCTAGATGTACCGCATTCTGTTTGCCAGATGGTTTGATAGCAAGTTTTAAGATTGTATGCGGTCAGAGAGCTAGGAAGATGCACGTCCAAAGATGTGCACTAAATTGGCAGGCTATCGGGGAGCTGCTTCGCTGGGCCTTTTGCCTCACAAACGCTGGCAGTCGTTATAGCAGCTAGCAGTGTGGCTGTGGTGCTATAAACCTGCAGCAGAGGTCCAAGACAAAGAGACCCTGTACCGGAAGCGATCTTCGCAGGCAAAAGCTTTCGTGGAAGCAGCGCCGTTGACGCAACCACTTCAACGCAAGCACCATCAGGAGCCAGACCAACCGTCTTCCAACGCGAGGACTGGGGCCTTGAGTCTTACACTGGTTTTGGACCTGCAGAGGCTTCGTTTTATCAGTTCGGCCAGGAAGAGAAAGGAATCAAGCGAGAACTCTGATCGCGCTCCGCCCAATTGAAGACCCCGTGTCGCGACTGCCGCGGGCCTTGACCAACCATGCCTCAAGGTACCGATGGCCGGACAGGAAGCAGTGATGTGAAGGTCGAGCTCCCCGAGGAGTGCCTTCACCAACGAAGCCTCACCTTCGCAGCTTGCCTCCGTGATTTCATGCCCGTGAAGGCCATCATAGTCAGCGATGACAGTGACTTCGAGGCAAGTGATTATCAGAGCCTTCATCTCAAGAAAAGTCCGCAGACTCGGCCAGTGCTAGAAGGAGCTGAAGATGACCTCGGCAAACACGGACATTGCACCCCTTGCCTGGGGGCTACCAAGTCAGAGGGTGCGAGTTGCGATGAAGTAGCTAACGGGATGGTGCTTTGAATCATAGAATCATAGTTGAATTAGCATATTACGAACATGTTTGAGCAGGTTATGCGCAAGACCTGATTCCCATGAAGGGCAGTGGGCTCAGAGTCGACGGCCAAAGGGCGACTGCTGCAGTTCTCATGGCTGTTGGCTGCAGGTCCCGGCGCGCGGGCTTTCGGTTGCACGGCAGTTTGCAAAGTGCTGTGCCACTGCGAATTAGAGGCCATGCAAGCTCTACCTTCAAACCTACTCCTCCTTCAACATTGTTTACGAAACTTTGTCAGATGCGGGTGCTCACAGATCTTTTTTGCTAGATATGTAATCGTGAAGCACAGGTGGGTGCGGCATGGCGTGGCCAGAATTGTAGAGACCCTGCACAGTTTTGATCATGCACAGCGGCGTTGCCACTGTGCTGCCGAGCCTGGAAGGGCTTTCAGCCCTAGATTTAATTACCGAAGTTTGTGAGCAAGTTGTTGCGATCAGGGAAGAGACCGTTTATGAGAAGTAGACCTTAGAAAGACGAAATCGCGCAGAAGCCCTCGACATCGACAGCGAAGCGCCCAGTTCACTGTTTGCTACCTGTTACCGTGGCAGTTTTGGTTTCCAGAGCCGTAGATTTTCGCCCGCTGCGAGACATGACAAGCATGTCCAGCAGGAGCCTTTTGCACAGAGCTTTGGAGACGGTGAGACATGTTCTGAGATGCTAATGTTTGATTATATTATGTTATATTATATACTATCTTACAAGTATATATTATATAGTATATAGTATATATTATATGTTATCCATTATATAGTATATATAGTATATAATTCTTTATTTGTTATATAGTATAAATTCTATTATATTATATTGTATTATATTGTATTCTATCATATTCTATTATAATTATAGTCTATTATGTTATATTATGTTATATTATATGATATGACATTATATGATATTTTATTACCTGCAGCTGCCAGCAGGACGGTTGCTTTGGTTGCACTGGGCCTTGAGCTCGGAGAAACGGCAAGTGCCCGTTGTGGGTCGCACGCTCCCACTGGCCCTGGCCCCTGAGGCGCTTGCGTCTGGCTGGGTCAGTTTGCTTTCGTGCAAGTCGCGCCGGCGGAGCATCCCACGGTGCTCCTTCTCAGATTGGGCTTAAACTCCGAAACACAAAAACAGCTTTTAACCGATTCAGCTTTCGTGTTGCAGAAAAGCGTACCGAGAGAAAAGGTCACTGGCGCACGCAGCTTTCGACCGGCTGCCCCAGAGAGGTCGGGAAGTCAAAGCACAGTCCAACCGAGCTTCTCAACGAATTCAATTTCCCAAAGAGTTCGTAGATTGTCCGGCCTTTCTCATGTTTAGCTCTCGTTCGTCTTGGAAACTGCAACGAACGACCACAGAAGCGGCCTTGGTCGCACTTCCTGTCGCGAAATGTTGCTTGACGGGGTACAGTAGTGGCGGTTAGGGTGTGGTGGCCAAAAGCGAAGGGATATGTGTTCTGTTTGTTCCCGCCATGTCTTTCATGCACAGATCCTCAGTGACATCGGTATCTCTCATGCGGCATCAAGTTCGGTCGCTTTGTAGGCAGCCCATATCCAGCTCCGGTTTGCCAGCTGTTGCCGCAGCCACGGTTTGAATCTCAGGGCAAGGCTTCCAAATCCTGCGAGGAGGCCAGTCACATCCAATGAACTTGCTTTTCCGAGGTCGGAGCATGCCTCGTCAGCGCTGCGTCAGAAGCCCGGGTTCATAAGGCAGAGAGACCCGCACGGTGCTACCTGTAAATGGTCCTGTGGGTATGCATTGCACAATGAGGCTGCGATCACGACGCACCAGCTCAATGGCGCGCAATTTGTTTTTCGGTGGAGGTCGAGATCCGTCGCCGGATGATGTGACTACCAAGGTCCTCCCCCCACCGCTGCAGCATGAGCATCGGAAAGATGCCGTGTGATTCTACATGTTCGGTCCACTTGCAACGACGATCGCTGTCGAAGCCGGGCTACGTGAACATTCTAAAGGAGAGCACACAACGCCGGGAAAAGGTAACCCACTCTTGCTGTTGCCAGGTCTACTTCGACATCACCATTGGCAATCAGCCCGCTGGACGCGTGGTCTTCGGGCTCTACGGTGCCTGGGCATGAAAACCTCCGATCAGAACCATGGGGCGTCCCACGAAGCTGCCAGGAGGTATTGTTCCAAAAACCGTGGAGAACTTCCGCAAGCTTTGCGAGAATCCGCCTGGCGAAGGATTCAAAGGCCTGTCGTTCTATTCGGGAACGGTCTTGCTTGGAGTTTATCGCTGCACGTCACACGTCTTAGCAAGATTGTTTGTAGTATTTGTTGTAGCACTTTGCCATGTCTGCGGGAACGGACAACAGGGTTCTGCACCGACAGAACTATGCAAACGCAGCACACACATTGCATGCCACACACAGCCCGGCATCAGGTTGCCCCTTCCACCGCATCATCCCCGGCTTTATGTGCCAGGCCCTGCTGTGACATCGTACTTCCTTCTGAGCAAAGCTTGCCAAGAAGAGGGTGGTGACTTCACCAACTTCAATGGCACTGGGGGCCGAAGCATCTATGGTGCGGCTCTTGGGTTTGCCATGTTCGGCAGTGCAACTGGCCTTTGTCAAAGCCTTGTGAGGCACATCCTCAGCAACACCGGATAACACCGGTATGTTTTCTTTCCTTTGCACATGGCCATCTGAACACAGGCAATAAGTTTGAAGACGAGAACTTCGAGCCTGCTGCTCAGACAAGAGTTCCGATACAGCCAGCTGTGCAGGGTCGAGCCATCGTTGTTTGGCTGCCTGTCCTCAGGCTGAACCACACCAAGCCGGGCGCCCAAGTGATCACTAGTCCTGCTGCATGCATACCTCGCGAGTCAAGACGTGCCTGTTAGATGTCGTCCATCTCGTAGAATCGCAGAATCAAGTTATCCAAGGATGGTCATCTAAGTTAAAACGATGATGAGTTGCTAAAGGGCTGCTTGCATGCAATAGGGTTCCTGCAAACTAGGCCGGGACTGCTCAGCATGGCTAATGCTGGGCCCAACACCAACGGATCGCAGCCCGGATCCCGGATGTGGACGCATTGCGGGTGGGGGTGTGGCTTGGCAAGGCCATGGAGAGCATCGCTCGTCTGATTTCAAGTAGAATTCGGCCATCTGATTCGCATTGTCATGAGAACCTGCATTCAGCTTCTTGACGACGATGGCACTGACGACGACTACTGTTGCTGCCAGTACCAGTGATCGTCAACACCGTGTCGTGGTGGTGATAGTACTGCAACTACTGTAGTACTGGGCCAGTAACTAGTGCTGCTGCAGCTGCTGCTGGTGGTGCTGCCGCGGCCACTCCTCCGCCTGCTACGGGTCAGGATGGTTCGAGTGAGAAGGAGTCGTGGCAGTAGTGACAGCCAATAGCATGCCAATAGCCAACAGGTCCTGACTAAACACGTGCCGCAGAGCCAACGTTTTCAAGCACGCCCCAGACCTAAACAACAGGCTTCAACCGTGCTGCTGCCCTGGCTGTCAACATTTGTCAACTGTTGAACCGTAGGCCCTAACCCAGCCTGCAATTAATGAGAAGCCCGATACCGCAAACCCCAAACCCTGCCAGGAGCCGTACAGCCTAGTCCCTGAACCCCAAGGCCTGAACTACCCTGCCAACCATTGTAAACGCCGCCCAGAAAGGAACTCCTAGTTTCAACAACAACCAAGTGAGGGCGGGGCCACAAGTGCGGCGGACGGTAAGCCCACAAAGTGAACACAAGTCATAAAGGGTTACTGCTAGAAGCTTGGAGCACCAACAGCTAAACCAGCTGCTCCGAGAAGTTGCGACCCCAAAGTACTGTAAAAGACCCTAAACCCTAAAGTCCCTAAACCCTAAGATCTTGAGAGGTTCTTTATCACAACGGCTCCTACGGACTGGCTGAACGGCAAGCATGTCGTATTCGGCGAAGTGTTGGAAGGACCTTGCACTACTGCGCTGCTTGCGCGAGGGTGTGAGAGAGGGAAGGCAAAGAAGGGAAGACAGACTTCCCTGAGCTGCGGAGCCGAGTTGCATTTGGTAGGATATGATATTATCCAGCAGATGGAGTCCGTCGGATCTCAGTCGGGCAGGCCGGCTCTGCAATTCTGCACTTTGGCTGTCGGCACCTGGCGCAGGGTTTATCTGCTTTCCTGTCCAGGACACGGACGCAGGTGGCAATCTCTGATGCGGGTGAGCTGTGAGTGATGTCTGTAGCTAGCATAGACCAGCTGGATGTGAGCAGGGACACTTGTAGTGTGTATGTTCTGTTGCGGAATAAAGTAGAACAGCAGCAACGCTTACTTGTATTGACCTCCTTTGCTCCTAAAAAGCTGGTTCTGTGAAGATGCCCTTTTGAAATCGGTCAATTTCCTGGCTGCACACAGCCGGCAAGCATATGTTTCATTAGTTTTCAGCATAATATAGAGAAGCAAAATGTGTGCGGTGCACCATTCGGGTGCGAGGCATCCGGCGAACAGGACAGTGAGAGGTTGATAGCCAGGGTCTGTTCTGATGCGGGCCAGGCGAGTTAATGAAAGACTTTAGCATCTCACGGACCTTTTGATCGTGTGCGTTCGCCGTCCATGTGTCGCTCAAGATCCGACATTCGCCAAAAGTTTGGAAGACACTGCGGTGCAGGTCTCCACAACAGCTGGCATTGTCGCGGTATTTTGCGATGTTCACTCCCGGGCCTTCTCTCGCAGAGACGCATCGTTTGGGCAAGATGTTTCAGCTTGTGGAAGAGATTGAAGCCTGGATGCTGGCGCTTCCTGACAGCATCTTCGACCCAGCATGTGGCAGATTATCTCTGGACTATGTTCTGCATCATGCACCGATGACGGATGGGCAGCGTTCCCAACTTGTCGTAGCGGACATCTCGAATCTCATTGAACACCACGGCCTGCAGACACGCCTTTACTGCGAGGCCCATGAAGCGCCTCGCCTTGAAATTTGTTTAAAAGCAGCAAGGCTCAG